TGAGTGGTTTCAAGATCTGGAATTCGAAAAAGGAAAGGAGGAGTAAGTGTTCAAGGTGCTCGAGGTTGTGTCGAATCTTCCTTGTAGAAAGAATCAATTTCTTGTATGTCAAGAGTTTGAGAGAATCGAATGTGAACTATTAATGATCGTGTCGAAAAAATGGACAAATGTCAACTCCAAGACTGGGATGCCAGCAAGGGGCTTGAATCTAGATTACCAAATAGCTGGTCAACCCGGTTCAGGTGCATAGTATTTGTGTTAGTTCTTTTCTAGACCCCCCTCTGACTAATAGAAAGGAAAATCCTTTTTTCTTTCTTACCTCCTGGTGCTCAGGTTTCTGACAGGTCAACCAACTGTTTATCGCCATAATGACAGCCATTGTTATCTGTTTGATAGCGATTCCCACGGTAGGAAGACTGATGTCAATTCCCTATTCGACCTCCCCGATCATCAAAAGGAGGAGCTTTGGATCCTAACAGATGAGGCGCTTGAAGATGCAGGATGGAATGACAAGGGCCACAGTTGGTTTGTGGTACTAGCGGCCTCGCCAGCCAAGATACGAGGTTTGTGGCAGTGGGAGAAGGATAGGAAAGTTGGGTCACGCTATATGAGTAACTGGGGATGGGGTGAGATTGTAGCAGCTTTCAGGTACTAGTTCCTTCTTCGTACTAAGCAAGACACCAGCTGACCCAACTGTCCTGTAATAGTCTAGAAATGCCCAAGCCCCCTACTCCACGTCAAATGGCAATGCTCTTCACAACCTTCCCATGTTTGGGCCCCATTGCCAGGACCTGCTTAGAGTCAATCTTTATGATGAGTGACGATGACTATAATCATGACCTCAAAACCTACCTTGGTGAAATCGATCGCGAAATAGATACATTCATTCTGCAGGGGGGTTACCTAACGGTAGAGGGTACCGTACATCAGGAGGGTTCGCACAGGATAGCTATTATGGATCCTAGCAATGATGGGCTGTCGTATAAAGCCTGAATCACTATGAGATGGATTGCCTACAAGGTCTTCAAGAAGGCACACAGGAAGTTACAGCTGAATTGTTTCCAGCTCTACAAATACCTCACCTGCCAAGATCCGCTCCGAAGTGCAGGTAGCTGGTTTTTTGAGGGATATGCACATGACTGGTTCGGAAAGGATAGATCTTTTGAGGCTGATAAACTTCTGATCAAAGACAACAATACCCACCTCAAATTCATGACATATTGGTCCAAATCCCTCAATTATTTCACGAATGCCAACAACTTAGCCACACAAGTTCGAGTGAAGGGTAGCCAAGAGATCAAGTGAGATGTGATCGGAAAGTATTTCCTCTCTTATAACACTAACTTCGAATTGGTTGATGCACTTGTATTTAGTGATTTAGACACATTGATTCTATTGCAAATCACCATTGCCAAGAGTTATGATATCCAACTATGTAGGGTGAAGAAGCTTTGCGAATCATTGCCAGCTACTATCAAAAATATACACATTGTTTTCGTTATCCCAGAAGACCGCATAAGTGAATACTCGAGTGCTCAGAGTGCGCCAGAAGCCAGAGATGTTAAGCCAAATGCAACAGACCTATTGGTCAACCAGTTCCGACTAGTTCTCACAGAGGAGGTAATTCATTTGATGACTGTTGGTGGGTCTTTCAAGGTATGGGATGGGGGCAGGGGTGCAGATGAAAGTGGCAGTAGAGACTAATGGGGGAGATATGGTGATGGGTGGCATACAATAAGGTGAGATATGGCATGCAGGGTACTGTGGAGGCTGGTTTGGTTTGTGCATTTTTCGTACAGATGGCAATAGTCTTAGTCTTCAGTTAGCAAGGGTGACTTCTGTTTGAGGTTGGTGTGGCATTCGTGTTTTGTGGAAAATGCTTTGGCAATTACCCCTTTCCCTTTTTCACCATGTCTGGCACTGTTTAAAGCACACCTTTTTCTTTTTCTCTTCTTTATCCTTGAGGAGACATAACCACTGCAAGAGAGGATATATTTTCTTGTAAACAGCGCAGCATAAAATTCACCTATGTGCATATCATTTGTTCACAGCAAAATTCAACTTACTATCGTTGCAGTGTCATCTGTTTGTGATGTGATTTTGTGTCTGTCACATAAAAAGATTATTTCCTTGTCCTAGGGGTTTTATTTGTTTGACTTTCTTTCCACCTCTTGAACTTTAATCTTCATCACATAAATTTACTAGTAGCTTTCATGCTGACCCTCACCTCCCTTGAACAGCCTGAGATGCAGTCGATTGCACAATACTCCGGTTGGGTATCCTACTGTTGCCAAGAAGCTAGAGCAGTCAGTGGTTTGTATAGTGAAGCTGGAAGCATCACACGGTATAGTATCACTAGCAAGAGCCTACTCAAGACCTCGAGATTTTGTGTCTACTCCTCAAGGCATTCTGCTCACTTTTTTTCTCCTTTCTTTCTTTCTTCTCTTGCACCCAGTTTGCCAAGGATGCCACAGGGTTTCCAGGTGGGGTGGTTCAAGTAGAAGGAAGAAAGAGATCAGATTGGATGGCTTACCCGATGATCAGATTGAGCATAATTGGTTGTAGTGAACAGTACTTGCCGATTCCACAAGTATTCGGAAATCTTGGCACGGTTTAGGTTTGGGAAATTCCAAGATTTCTGGATACTTGTGGAATCAGCAAGTACAATATAGGATTATTTGGGTATAGTTGACCTACCGGCCTAGGGGGTATATGAGAGACAAGGTTGATATTAGTGCTCCGAACAGTCTAGTCTGTACTTTAACTTAAACAAGGATGTGCTAGTTCAAATATGGGAAGGACACAATGCTCTATAGGCCCTGCTCTGTAGGGTGTGATAGATATTCAGTGAAGTTTTGGATCAGGTGATGGCTGATCTACTATACAGACATATCTTTTCGACACCAATAGCCATTTTCATCACTAGTTTTCTTATGATTTCTTCCTGTGGCTTCTTATTCTCTCGACTCCATGACCATACTCAGGTATAGTTCTGGGTGTGTGAAACCGACCTTCAAGATAATGACAAAAGAAGAGAACAAGACATGAATGGCAACAACACAACATTGATGTTATGAAAAAAATAAGAGCATAAAAATGAAGAGAAATAGTGTGAGAATAAAACTATGGATTTGTTTTATTAATTAACAGCATGGTGAGGGCTAGCTGTAGATTAAAAGATGTGAATATTTTAGATGAGCAGAAAAAAAGTGAACAGCCAAGAAAGTACCCAAATAGGAAGATCCAGTTATATTTCATGATTAGTGCTAAGGTTTTATGTAAATGCAGTGGAAGAAAAAAGCAGAAAGTAGGATTGTATAAAACGAAGAAGATAGGAAGAATAGTCTGGGAACAGGATCCTTTCAGTGCCTCTATCAAAGAAGTATGTCTACCATTTACAACTGTGGCTCTTAATGACAAAAAGAGTAAAGCATTGAAGGCAGGCAAATACCAATGACTCAGATATGTAGCTTAAAATCCCCTACATTCACCTACCCCATGCCAGAAGAAGAGTTGATTCAGAATCAGAATCCAATACAGAAACTGATTCCAAGTTGGATGAAGAGGAGGATAGTAAAGAGGAAGAAGATGTGAATATATTAGTGAGTGCAAGCTATATGGAGGAGTGTAATATAGGAGAGGAGGAGGACATATAAGAGGAAGAGAAATATGGATTGCGATGGGAAGAGGGTGCAGGATTGTCCCTGACATGAGTTGCATGAGGTGGCCCTGTTGGCCAGACAGCGTTATGGAAGAGGGGGGTAAAAGTGCAACAACTAGCCCTCGAAGGACAAAAGTCATACTGAATTACTAATATGTGGGAAAGGTCAAAGGAATTAAGAATTAGCTTAAAACAGAAAGACAGTGGGGGAAAGAAGTCATCTGAAGGAGAAGATAACCTACCAAATGAAGCTGAAGAGGAGACTTTTGAAGTGAATTGGCAGCAACTATCCCAGCAGTTGAACCTTAGTGACCTACCCTGAGGTTTAGCATTAGTTTCTCAAAAAAACAGAAAAGGAACAAAGAATTGAGGATTGGAAAAGAGACCTACAAACTATTAGCCATTTGCTTCAGAGAAAGCAAGATCAGGTAGCCCTACATGGCAAAAGTAGAGATTGCGGGCCACTTGCTCAAATGGTATAGCTTACTATAAATGTTTTTACAACTACAGAAGAAGTATCTGAAATCTTAGCACTGGCAGTTAGCATTACAAGTATCTATAGTAGTAGAAAGAGAGATATATACTGCTTGCAAAATTGTTAAATGGGAGTTAGAGTTTTTGGAAAAGGGATATATTACACCAAGTAAGGTGGGAAGAAATGTGAATAAGGTGGAATCCTTACTAGAAGATGAAGGAGTGCAGTTAGCCTTGTGTAACTATTTCACTCGAGCTGGGGAAGGTAACCTATCCAATATTTTCAAATACTAATACAGCTGCATTTGTAAAGTTCTCATGCTTCCAAGTACCACAAACAATTTGAAATACTTTACTAAGTCTCTTCCACCATTATTTGATAGAATAAGTTGTGGTAAGAGTTTACAATACCATGAGAACTCGAATGATTGAACCTCATGCTAAAATGTTCAAACCTCTATCTCTTAGATAGATAGGTAAGTATACAGTAAAAACTGACCTACTTGGATTGGGCACTGGCACTGGACAAAAAAAAAACAAGATCTTACTGGCAAAGGCAACTTTGATACCTCCTTGTCCAAAGTTCAATTATTCAAGTTCTTATGGTATCACTGGAGGCATATGTGAAAAACAGTTAGTAACAGGAGTTGTTCTACCTTATTGTTGTAACTAGGTATAGTTCTTGATGTAAAAGAAAGTGTATGAGAACTTTATAAGTGTAGATCCAGATGTTTGAGTAAAGCTAATATGACATGTTAAATGAATTTAGCTATGACAGTGAGCAAAATTGTGTAAATTGTCAACAAATACATGCAGGAGACTTACCTAGACCAATGCGGTGACCTCCAGACCTATAATCTAGACTACCTTGTGAGTGCAGTCAGTATTGAGAAAGATATTGTGAAAACTGAAGGAGACAATGAAGAAGCAACCAGAAGGGGAAGGAGAGGAGGAATAAGGAAGAGGAAAAGTATCACAGCTCGAATGATTTGGAGATGGTTAAGGCAAAATGGCTACAACTATATAGTTGTGAGAAAAGGTATATATATTGATAGATATGAGAGGGAGGATGTGGTGGCTTATGGGGAGCAATTTGTGAAGACATTAGAATGTCTATGGTCTTTTGTGGTAGAGTTTGAGGATGATCGAAGTATAAAGGAGAAAGAATATTTATTGGGATGTGAGATAGGTGGGAAAACAAGACCAATTATCTTAATCACAGATGATGAATCAATATTTTCACCAAATGATTCCTAAAGGCAGGCATGGGTTAAGCAAGGCTCACAAATAATTGTACCAAAAGGCCAGGGACAAGGTATTATGGTGTCAGAGTTCATGTTACCTTGGGAGCAGCTATCTTTAAGGGATATTTCACATGAGCAATAACAAGTACTTGGTCTGCCCTCACATGTGACAATACTATTCAAATATGGTCCAGAAAATAGCTTCTGGGAGGGAGGACATTTAGTTAAGCAGGTCACTGAACTAACTATTCCAATTGCACAAGCAGTATACCCAGGATACCAATTTCTATTTTTATTTGACAATTCCTCCAATCAGGGAGCCTTTGCCCAGAATGCATTACTTGCTCAGAATATGTGTTTGGGGCCAGGCAGGAAGCAGAATTAGCTACAGAATAGATAGTTTGAGGATTTAGGTCTACATAGGTTGAGTATATAGAAGTTTTATATCAATGAGGAGGGAATAGAGGATACAAGGCAAAAGGGAATAAGAAGGATACTAGAGGAGCAGGGTTTATGGCCAGAAAGGGGGGAGCGGCTTCTTTTAGAATGTCAAAAAATGCACTATGGTAGTTGTATGGCTGTAAAAAGCTGTAAAGAGTGCATTGTAGTACTCGATATGTGGAATGCTGGAAAGAGAAAGTATGCAGTAGCTACTGTACAAGAAGGAGAAAGTGTGATGAGTGCAAGTAGTGACACACCTGTACTCAGTATAGAAAGAAGATATACTGTCTACATTATCATTACTATAGCACTAAAGGGTGCTTAGAGTGTGCAGACCTACATGCATGCTGTGAAGGGACTGATAAGTTTTTTCAATTTTGTCTAATACTACTCTCTATTATATAGTACTAAAGTTATATTCAAAATTTCATAATGCTAATTACAAAATTGATCTTTTGGTATTTTTAGATTGCTGTACATGATCGCTCATGGCATCACAACCTGACTTCTAGCTACAAAAGTCAATGCTTGTTGAAGAGATTGAACAGCAAGGTTATTTAGTCATGTTCTTTCCAAAATTTCATTGTGAAATTAACTTCATAGAGTACTTTTAGGCTCAATGCAAAAGGTATACTCATGAGCATTCCAACTACACCCTTGCTAGTTTACGAGCTCGAATTCGAGATGCTTTAGCCTCTGTTAAGCCAAGTACAATACATGGCCTTTATCACCAATGCCTATGTCGAATTCAAGCTTTGCATGGTGGGGTCACTTATGGTACCCCAGACTATGACAAGTATGTTAAAGAATACAAGTCACACAGGAGAGTCTACTTTTGGGAGGACAATTTGCAATTTTTTCTTTCTATATACATTTTATTTCTATGTAGAGTGAGGTTGAAAAAGGTGGAGGTGCAGGTGGGATTTCTACAGAGGTTGGCAATACTATAGATACTAGAAATTGTTTACTAGTAGCCAACTACTTAAAGTTCCTCCTTTCCATTCATACTCTCTATCTTCTGAGTTTTATTAAATCTAGAAGTAAAAATCTTTCCTAATACTACAGTAGCCTACCATAAAGGGAGTCTCTCATGAGATGCCAATACCTGTAGAACTTTTATATGACAGGTATTATTTATATAGACATTCTCACTATGCTATGGACTCACTATACCATGGAATACAATTACTGCTAGCTGTCACAAATCTCAATAATCTGGACACCCCACTCCCCCACATATATTTCTCTAAAATCTACATTCCTGTGTACAGAAATCTAGCCTATTGTTCTGAATACCCCTTTGGCCTATACTAAATTCATCAAATCTGGCCATTCAGGATAGAGGGGGTACCAGTAAGTCTACATATCTTTTGACTATATTAAGAACCATCAAGGAATGCCAAGGAATACCAAGAAATTCCTTTTTTATTGCAAAAACACCCCTGTTCAAATTCACCAAAAAGTGAACATGAGGGTCAGTTTCAGATGTCCAGAACTGTATCTTCTTCCACTCTGGTGGGATTGTAATACCCCTTTAGGTGTAGGCTAGTCCAGTAGTACCTTAGTTTAGTGAATATATTTTTATGGAACCACCATCCCCCATAATACCTGGTGTTGCTGAGACTCCATAGGCAGGGCCCAGTAGTAGTCCACCATACAGCTCACCCTCCTGGGTAGTTTGGAAAACTGTGCAATCTAGAAATTAACTAATATTATGATCTTATTACTGCAAATCCTATCAGTGCATGATATCTCTTAACCTTTACTGTAACTTGTGAGTGGCTTCAGTTTACTATCCTCGCCCTCATTGTGCATGATTTATTGACCCAGCTATAGTTTTGTATCTAGGATGTACAAGATCTCCATACTATGCATATCCAAGGCATGACTTTCTTGTACTCAAGGGTCTGTCTGGCAACAGATGTGTGTTATGTTCAGTTTTTTTTCTTTTTTTCTTTTTTTCTTTTAGCGAATACTTAAATGTCTTACTAACTACGTAATAAATTAAATTGCTGGGGTGGCTTTATTATTGGAGGTCACTCATTAATTCAATGTTTTCTGAATTGATGTTATACTGATTTTCTGTATACATTATACTGCTCTCTGTCCTAAACATTCATTGTGGTGAAGGGTATGATATCTATATCAGGAGGTAGCAATTCGTTAGAGGCCAGTGGAGGTAGTTTACCATGTTTCTACTACTGCTATCTTGAAATCTTAGAACTTGATCACTTCATATTAATATAGTCTCCAACAGCTATAGCATAGGGACCTCAACCTGACCCATAATATATATAGTTTAGTAGAAGACTGTCATCAACCAGAAATCTTAATTAACTGAGTGTAGAACAGTAGTACTTAATGTAGGCATTTACCAGAAGTCAGTCAGTTCTAGATTAAATAAGAAAAAACTTTAAATATTGTTATAAGCAGCAGAATGAGGTTTTGGCAGAGGATTAGCATTTGGAGATAATGGGTTAAAGATATAGTCAGGAAGGGAAAGGAGGTAGAATAACAGGTAGAATAGGAGGTTTAGAAGAGAAGAGAGTCAAGCAAGACTGAGCCTGATTGGGCATGTTTAGATGGAGAGTGGGGAAATGATAGAAGCTGATCCTTTAAATTAGATGCTATTTCTGAGTCATGAAGTTGGGAGTGGTAATATGTAGGACCATCCCTGGCCTGTCCTATGGTAGATAGCTTACCAGTCCATGGGACTTTAATTCCTACCATTACAAGTTCCTCACATGCTACTCATATTAAGATGAAAAATATAGCTCCTTACCTGTCATTGTAGACAAGTTTAACTGAGTGATATTGTCCCATTAAACTCTATAATTACATTAGTAACCTCTCTTAAATGTCATTGGTACTACCTCAATAGATTCATACCTAAAGTTGTGAATGTGAGACTGGACCAAGATATATAGCGATAAGGTCTTAGGAGAAACTCTCATCAATGCATGGTATTCCACTTCAATAAGTACATGTTTGAGTGGTATCTGTACATCAGACTGAATCCCTACAAGTACTAGAGGTCACATCTCATGCTCTACTTTGCTACTCCTATACTTCTTACAGTCCCTAGTTGTCACTAGTGAATACAATCTCCTTCTGTATGAGAGTATAGGATAAGTATGAGGTCTCAGTGAATAAGAAAATAATAGTATGGGTTTTGGTTGTCACTATAGTAGAGTTTAATCAATGAAAATAATACTAGGAGATAATAGGTATTAGTAAAGAAATCTGTGATACTATTCATTTATGTCTTTGGCCTTCTGATATATAGGCATTGCTTCCATTCACATAACTGAAAGTCAATACTATCTACTACCTACCACTATTGGATATTTTGTGGGCCATCATATATTCCTTGGGTCATAAGTTCTGCAAAGTCAGCTTAGCATTGGTGGTGAGACTTTCATGTGAGGTGAGGAGATAGTGATTTCTGATATCAGTAAGATCTAGTATCAGTTACTATTGAAGGCATCAATGATATCAGTGAAAATATTATTTTGTACTCCATGCATCCTATACATCTGATGCACAGGGTGCTTATAATAATAACTGTTAATCAGGATGTATTCTTGAACTGACATTACATCCTGATGTTGAGTCATGTACCTGATGCATCCTGACAGTATCTAGACATAGACTCCTATGCCAAGTATACTTTGCTAACATTTGATTCTGTGCTCTTGCATCCTGACAACATCTGATCCTTGTATTACAAACCTAGCATGGAAAAAGGGTTTTCACATGACTCAAGATTATGAAGTCCTAGGTTTGTAAGTCTTATACATACATAGCTCACAATTGTGAGTCATGATGGTTACATTTAATTTGATGATACAATAACTCATTTGAGTTATAAGAGATTTTATGCATATAACTTATTTAGAAGTCATGTGAGTTTCACACATAACCAAGTTACTATAGTTATGTAGTTATGAGGTTATGCAAGTACATGAGTCACAGTTGTGACTCATGAATAGTTATTGATTTATAAGTAGATTGTGAGAAGGACCATACAAGGAGGAGGATATGATGAGGTAGTTAGTTCTTCATGCAACCACCTAAGTTATTTCCTAGATATAACTTTATGACTTTATGAATATAAAAACCCCTTACTTTCTTTACTACTAGAGAAGCCTGATGATATCCACCTTATAGGATAAGGAGGAAGTAAATGAGAGAACTTAGTCTTAGGAAGATAAAGTAAAAACCTGAGAGCTTAGTCTAGGAAAGACTAAGAAAGGGTTAATAAATACAACTTTGAGTATTTATTCCCTAATATAAAAGAGTATGATAACAATAACATCATTGGCTGTTATACAGTTATATAACATGAGAGATCTCATAGGTGATCCTAATATTTAGTTGTGTCCTTAGTAATACTCTATAGTACAACAGATAATGAGGTTAGTTCATTAGAACTACCAGAAGTAACACAATCACTTTCAAGGACAGATTTAGAAAGAGGAAGAGCACGGAGTCTGGTTATACGAGAAGAAAGATCAGCAGAAAGATCTATATCATCTGAAGAACAAGAAGATCAGAGGATGTCAGGACCAGTAGGAGGAATACTACTAGGAGGGGAAGAGCTACCAGCAGGAGGAGACCTTCTGGAACTGACAGCAGAACAATTACAACAGATAATACAGGTTATGGGAGGAGGAATGAAGAGGCCAAAAGTCAAAGAACCAGAAAGCTTTTCTGGAGATTGATATAAGTCAAGAAACTGGCTAGCCCAGTTAATAGTCTATTTTAAGGTACTGGGATGAGCTGAGGGACACAATGATAAAATAATACATACCTCAAACTTATTAAGGGAGGATGTGAGTAGCTAGCTTGCACTATACACAAAAGGATCCAGCATGATATCTTGGCAAGACTGGCAAGGATTAAGAGAAGTATTGCAAACTCAGTTCAGTGTAGTAG